ACAGAAAAACTAAAATTCAGTTAAGTGGAAATTCAGAAATCTATCCTACGAAAAAGAGGCTAGAAGTGTTGACATTACTTACTTGAGATGTAAGAAAATGAATGGGATGCCTGGGTAGCTCAGTCGGTTGAGCAGCTGACTCTTGATTTCAGCTCAGGTCATAATCTCAGGGTTGTAGGATCAAGCCCCATGCCAGGCTCTGCCCTGGGCATGGAGTCTGCTTAAAATTCTCACTCTCTGCCCCTCATCCCCGCTCATGCTCTCTCTCTCTAAAATAAATAAAATGGTGAAAAAATGTAAGAAAATGAAGAAAAGTTCCTACCCCTGCTGTTTAGATGGGAGGTTTTTAAGAGAGGATTGTATTGATCTCCTTGTCTCAGAAAGACTGTCTTATAAGCATTAGGCTCTACTCTATTTTTGTCTAGAGTACTTAACACCACTGGAAGGAAGCACTGCATGACATTAATTCCTTGATTGTTGGGGCACATGGGTGGCTCAGTGGGTTGATCATCCAACTTTGGCTCAGGTCATGATCTCGCAGTCTGTGAGTTCAAGCCCTGCGTTGGGCTCTGTGCTGACAGCTCAGAGCCTGGATCCCGCTTCAGATTCTGTCTCCCTCTCTCTGCCCTTCCCCCATTCATGCTCTCTCTTTCTGTCTCTCTCAAAAATGAATGAGTGTTAAAAAAAATTCCTTAATTGTCATAATAATAAGCCATTGCAATTGGTTAGTGCAGAAATCTATGCAGGGTTTTTTTTTTCTGTTTTTTTTTTTTTCTTTCTAAAAATTGTCTAGAGACAAACAACTTTCTGCTTGGAGTAATTAGAACATTTGGGGGAAATGAAGATAGGACACAACCTGGAGTATCTTTGTCTCAGGTCTTACACATACTGCGGTTGACAGAGAATTACAGGCAAAGAAAAGGGGCAGTGTGACTGAAAAACTTCATTCAGGCCCTTTTGGTAACTTGTGAGACAGTTTCACTTGAAAGCTTCTCACTTTGTCATTCTCTATTTTGACTGCTCTCTCCTTTTGTGCTTCAAGATGCTAGAAATGTCACTTAATCTTCATGTAAATATTGTCATGCCACCCAATTCATTATAGAATATTGTCTGACCTGAAATAAAACATTTCTCTTTATATATAATTTCTTTTTAAAAAAAAGAATTTAATTTTGTATTTTTATTTTATTTTTGAGAGAGAGAGAGTGAGCAGTGGAGGGGTAGAGAGAAAGAGAGACAGGATCCAAAGTGGCATTGCCACTGTCCCTTGGACACGTGCTTTCTCACACTGACAGCTCCCTATGTGTATAATTTCCAATTTAAAGGGTTTTCCTGAGATGCTGCATGTTTCCAGGTTATTCTTGATCCAAATAGCACCCTCATGAGGAACTGTGCGCATTGAATAAACTGATCTGTGTAAAGTTCTTAGAACCGCCTGGCACAGAGTAACATTCAGTAAGCAGTAGCTATTCTTGTTCCGCTATTTCATGTGTGGCTTCCCTACATGTGTGCGTTAGGACTGCTAGAGTCTGGGAAAGGGGAGGTGAAGCAGGCCTGTGGGCTGGACTCAGGAGAAGAACAAACCCTATCATGCAGAAAGATTATAGTAACTTCAAAGTATAGTTTTGGAAAATCTCTTTAAATCTAACCAGTGCAAAATGGAAAACCCCTAAAGAACCAATCTAATTATTTAACTAAATGGAACCATTATGCTGACTTTTACTACAGAAGGCAAGCATAATTTAGAAAATGGGGCATTTTAATTCTCTTTTGTTTTCCAATTAACACAATTGCTCTAATAGGGGGTACTCGTGCTTGAGTATATGTATGTTCTTTGAGTACATATTTCATATATAATTTCAGTGTCTATCTTTCTCTTTCTCACCAAAACCCCCCAAATCCTCACCTGTTGACATAGTGGTTCATTTATGACAATGGCCGGGCGGCCCAGATTATGACCTCAGAGCGAATATCTTCTGCCATCAAAGTGCCATGAACAGGCCCACAGCACAGCTCTACGTTCCCTTCCGGCTATAATTAGGATGTTGAAGTAACAGAGCTCTCATGTTTTTGCTGATGCCAGCTTACCACAGCAGACCACATGAGTTTACTCTTAGTTGAAAGTAGTAAAGAAAATGCCAAGAACATTCATTTTAATTGGCCAACATTATATGGACCTTTAGTGCCACTGTTTTATGGTCCTGTATTTTAGATTTTTTTCTGCCACCAGCCGTCGGCTTATTATGATGGATATTCTTATTTCCTTTTGATTATCCTTTTGATTATTATCTTGATTGTTACGTGATTACTAATTATTATTTGAAAAGTTTCATCCTCTTCTGCTTGTTGTTACCTTACTCAGGTAACAATTTCATGGGTCCTGATATTTATTAAATTCCATATAAAAGGCTGACATTGTCACATTGGTAAGAAGTTATTTTTTTCATCAGGTGGTCTCTGAGACTGAAATAGATGGCAGACATTTTTTCCCTTAAATTCTTGCTTTGCTATTGATATTTCTTAGCCCGAGAAGAAGAGAATGGGTCATATGAGGAGTGTGTGGTGGTCGTAGGAGTGGTGCTGGGGATGGTGGGTCCACTGATTCTTTAATGTCACCAGACATGTGTCCTTGTGTACTGATTGGATTGATTTCCCCCTGAATTCTGGAAAATGTTTAATTTGTTGCTTTAACATGAAAGAGACTGCATAAAATATGAGAGAATAGTAAGAGAGAAACGTGTGTGTTTTAAAATGGGAACTCACTATCCGTAAAGGCTTTGGGAGGACCCAGAAAGTTAGGCACTGATCCGAGTATAGGAAATGTGGTCTTTGTCTTTGGAGTTGACATAATGCTTTTTAGTGGGGACTATCACAGTAGCCTTTTAATTCTATAATATTGTTGCTGATGTTATAATGTCCGAGCAGTGGCTAGGCTCCTGTCCAGGATCCAGTGATCCTCTCCCCTGTCCAAGGAGCCCATCTCACATGGGCCTATGATGGCAGCAGGAGCAAGTCGTTGGGACAGTCTCCTCTGCATAGCTTTCTTTCTTCGGTCAGATAGAAGTTCATTAAGTTAATATTAAAATGGGAAATTATGTCATGCAGAAAGATGATGTTGAAGATCAAGAATAAGCTTGCCTAACTAGTGTCAAATGGCAAAACTAAAATGATTTAATAACGAGTTTGGTGTCCTTTATTCAAGGAAAACAATCCACGGGTTGGGGGAGTACGGTGCCTCACAAACAGCGGAACACTCTTCCTGAGGCATTCGGGCAAGATCAGCTTATATAGATCATTAAAAGTGGCAATACGAACAGAGCGTGATTGTCTGGGGTTGCATATCTGACTTTATTTAGAAAGATCAAAGAACAAGAAAATAAATATAGAGTATTGGGTTTGGGGATTGGCCCACTGTACCGTGTACTGTGCTTCTGATCAAGTGGAGCATTTACGGGAACTGGGAAGTACAGTCGGCTGATATGGCATCACAGGCAAGAGCATCTCTATCTGGAGGCTAGAAATTTATTTAAACATTAGAGTTTTTTGTTTTTATTTTATTTGTGTGTGTGTGTATGTGTGTGTTTATTTTTGAGAAAGAGACAGAGTGTGAGTGGGGGGAGAGGCAAAGAGAGAGGGAGACACAGAATCCAAAGCAGGCTCCTGGCTCCAGGCTGTCAGCACAGAGCCTGACGGGAACCTTTAACTCAAGAGCCCTGAGATCATGACCTGAGCCTAAGTCAGAGGCTAACCTGACTGAGCCATCCAGCCATCCCTTTGTTTTTTGTTTTTAAATGAGTGGGAGATATGTAGAGATAAAGGAGAAATTTAAATTAATTACAACAACTAGAAAACCTTAACGTTAAGGATTAAAAAAACAAAATAGGGAGTGTGTGCAAACAGAATTTTAATAGTTTATAAAGTGATATTAAGAAGGCCCATCTATGAGAGTATAAAAGTCATTTAAAATTCTTAATTTAAGAAAAATGTTGTATCTTTAAATTAATTTGGATGTTTTTATATTTAAAAAAAATGTTTTTAAAAAAATTAATGTTTAAGGGTCAATATCAGGGCTAAAAGAAAATAAACACAAGTTCTTTCTAATTTTACGAAGTATTGATTTTTCTGGCCGAAATGTCAACTATTCCTCTGTTATACTCTTGAGTAATCATGAGGCTGATGGTAATAATTGCTATCATTTATTGAATGTTTGCCCCGAGCTTGATGTGGACAGACTGTAGCCCATGGCCAAATCTGATCTGCCACCTGTTTTTGTAAATAAAGTTTTATTGGAACACAGCCATGCTAATTTGCTTGTATATTACTTATGGCTGCTTTCACACTGCAAAGGTAGAGTTGAGTCATTGCAACAGAGACTGTAAGGCCCTATAAAGTCTACAGTATTTACTATCTGGCCCTTTACTGAAAAAGTTTGTCAACCTCTGACTTAAGGTAAGCACTATTCTTTACATCTGATTTGTTATTTAATTCTTACAACATCCCTAGGAAGTCAGTGTCCTACCCTTCTTTTATAGGTAATGAAATTGAGGCTTAAAGAGGTTATTCTCTTATACAGGGATATCCAACTAAGGGAAAGAGTCTGGACTTGAACCCATGAGGTCTGATTGGAGAGCCAGTACTTCTCACGGAGTCCAACTGCTTTGCCATTAGGCTTTAGAGAGGTGGCCTATCATGCTGGTTAACAGCAGGGAAGGCTCTGGAGACAGATTATTTGAAAGCAAATGACCTTGGGCAATAAATGACTTAACTTCTTTGCGCCTCAGAATATACACGTTAGCAAACTATTTTTAACCTCTTGTTTTGTAAATGAGACTCTAAATCACCAGAAATTCTTTTATGTTTCCAAAAGACCTGAATTTCCAAATGACTACGTGACTCCAAAGGTAGATAGACAGCACAATTTCAGAGGAATGATAGCTTTTGAAAGGTAAAATCCTGCGTCAAATGTTAATATATATATATTTTTTAATTTTAATTATCAGGTCCTTCATAGACAGCAGTCTCAGCCAGCCAAGGAGAGTTCCCCTCCCAGAGAAGAAGCTCCACCCCCACCTCCTCCGACTGAAGACAGTTGTGCCAAAAAGCCCCGGTCTCGCACAAAGATCTCCCTGGAAGCCCTGGGGATCCTCCAAAGCTTTATTCATGATGTGGGCCTGTACCCTGATCAGGAAGCTATCCACACGCTTTCTGCTCAGCTGGATCTCCCCAAACACACCATCATCAAGTTCTTCCAGAACCAGCGGTATCATGTGAAGCATCATGGGAAGCTCAAGGAACACCTGGGCTCCGCGGTGGACGTGGCTGAGTATAAGGACGAGGAGCTGCTGACAGAGTCCGAGGAGAACGACAGTGAGGAAGGCTCTGAGGAGATGTACAAAGTAGAGGCCGAGGAGGAAAATGCTGAAAAGAGCAAGGCCGCGCCTGCTGAAATCGACCAGAGATAATGTGAACTCCTACCAGGCAAAGCAATACATCGGTCCAAGGATTTTCTGTTTTAATTTCTTTAAAAACTTTTTTTTTGCTTTATTTTATTTTATTTTTGTCTGTTTTGTTTTTCTTACCTTTTTTGACATTTTTTTGTTGCACAGGATACACCTATAGACTGAATAAGTTCAGTATTCCCGAATCAGACATCGCCTTGGCAAAGACACTAAAGTGTTACACTTTTACAATTGACTGGATCATAGTAATTATAATCACAGGAAACTCTGCCTTCATTATCCTTGCACTTACGGAAGAGACATCAGGCAAGTTCCAGGACGAAAAGACCTACGAAACAAATGAAGGAAGCTACAAGTGTGTGTGTATATGTATATGTATATATCTATATATTTACATATATATATTAAATTGCATGGGACAGAGAACTTTACAATCTGAAAGAATAGACTGTGAAATGAGTTCTTAAAGAAGAGACTTGTTTATGTATTAAAAAAAAACCACTTCACAGTGAGTCGCTTTGGCTTTTTGATAAACTGCGGCCTGCTCTCAGGGTGGGGTGACTATTTTTGAATTCCTATTTATTTTCTGTGTTTGTCCCTGATTTTTTTTTTTTTTTAATTCTATGGCTTCCTATCTGGCAGCTTGATGGGTAATTTTTGAGGTATGTATTTAAACATAATAAATCAACACTGCCAAAAAGAAAGAAGAAAGGAAAGTGGAAAAAAAAATCAGGGCACCTTAAAATGATACAAGTCAAATTGCTCTTAAGACACAATGCACACTTAAAATGACTCGACGTGTTCCGTTATTCAACTTGTCATTACTGTAGTGAACAGATGCATTTCTGTGGAATTCCAAATGAATAAAACTGAAATTCAGTACAGAGAAAACTTGTCTTGATAAAATGACGTTTTGACGTTGGACGTATGGAATTCATAGTATGAGCCACATTTTATTGTGAAACTTATTTACCTGTTCGTGGCTTCAGATCTTAAAATGAATAAGCCTGCTCATTTAAAAGTTGTTTGTTGTTGCTGTTTTCTCTTTTTCTTTTTTCTCCTTTTTTTTTTTAATAGAAAATAGTTCAATGTAATGTTAAGTTAGAAAAGAAGTTGCCGCCCAGTTAAAGGGGTTCCCTCTCAAATAAACCTCCATCCTTCCATCTCCCAAAAGATGTTTCCTATTTCTGTTTCACTTTGGGCTTCCTCTTCTTCGTCCACATTCCATCCACCTGACCAAACCTCTAGAGTCCCTGCTCTCACATGCCTCATCCCTTCCCTGGTATGGCAGCCCTAATAAGAACCTTTCTTTGAATCATTGTGCAGCTCCAGGCAATAGAGTAAGCGAAGCGATTTCGGTGGAATCACCTACTCATCGTAAACGGAAACATTTTCTCAGTTACCGACATAGCAATTACCTTACGTAAAGCAGAACTAATGCCGACTGGCTGTTTAGTGGAATGAGCATTAAAGCTGCAACCTACTATAGCTCTCCAAACCTCTTGTAGCTTCCTGTCAGAAGCACCAGTAGCATTTCTTCCCACTTGTACTTAGAGTAATTGCAAGAGGTGACCTCACCTGCAGGACTGGCCTCGCAAACCTAACCCATGCTTCACCTTGGCCGCCAGACAGTCCCACACGGTTGGATTTTTTTGGAGTTCTGCTCTCATGCAACCTTGTCAAAGACCTCATGCAATATCACTTTGAAAGTTATTTTCTGTTTACTACACAGACATTGTAATATAACTGTTAATACTATTTATATATTTGAAAGGTATAAAAGGTAGGAGTTAAAAAAAAAAACAAAACCTCTATGTGTAGATATTAACTCAGAACTTACAATATACAGGGAGAAGACATGTTGCAATACAAGCTAATTCTAGCTGCTCAGTAACCTCTGGAGTTTTTAAAGGGACATTTTCCTGTACTTTTTCAAATAACGATGTTGAAAAAATTATCTTGACAACGAGCGTCACATACCTTTGCAAAAGGATGGTTGTTTGCAGTTAAGCCCCGGGCCCATCCTTCTGCTGCCGTAGTATGCTGCAGCTTTAATCCGAAAGTCCACGCTTGCTGCTTCCTGATCTCCGAGTTACTCTTTCCAAATTGTCTTCTTACACTGTTGCTGAAGGTCACTCTGTACATGTAATGGAAACTGATGTTGCCAAGCTCTTACAAGGTGGTTCATCTATCGATGGCATCCGCATTTGGTATCTTTTACACTTCAACCAAAAATTTGTTAGGTATTTTTCAATGCTAAGTCTTGCCTTTTATTTTTTAATTTCACTGCCAAGTTTGCAGTGATTCTAAGTGAATCTGTGGGCATTTTAGCCTGTGGTCTTGCCAGATCTTTGCGAATTACAATGCATATATGTCTATTTATTCAATATCTGTCATATAATATCTATTTGGAAGAAGAAACTTTCTCTTGTAGTGCCTCTTGACAAAGCACAATTTCCCGCCTTTTTTTTTTTTTTTTTTTTTTTTTTGTGAAATGAAAAAACAAATTGTGTTTTATTGCGGTATCAACAATGTGAATAAGGATTAACATATTGTAAATGTTCTTTTTTCCATGTAAATCAACTATCTTTGTTATCACTAAGTGATAATTAATTTTTAACTTATGTGCATTGTTAGGCTGTTAGAATTTTTTGGTTGTTAAAATAAAACGCATTCAATAAATATGACTTCGTTTGTCAAGTATTTTACTGGGCATTGCCTTCTTTCCCACTTAAACTTTCGTGTGGAGTGAGACCTGGTGAGTGTAAGAAAAATCTGCTCCCTTAGTTTAGAAATAAGGCAGCAGTACCCATAACTGCAGATGTTTGAGTCCTGTACGATGCATGGATTTTGTTGTACATGTGAATTTACGTACATGTCTGTGTGTTTATAAACGTATGTGTGCTCGCATTCTGAAGCTGGCCAGGGGGAAAGCCGTGTATCCAAACGTTTTGCCGTATACAAACAAAACTCCAGTGTATAGAGATATATTTATGGGCTTGCTTCTTTATTTTTCTAGTGAATATTTTCTGTTTATAATTAAAAACCCACAAATGACTGCGTGTCAGGAAACTTTTGGAGCACATATGTCCATGGTTAATGGACATAATAAAAGTCTTTTATATTTAGAGCTGGGGTACCATAATGTGCGCAGAGAGGAATGCCGGAAGGATTGATGTATCTGAGAAATGTGTGAAAATGATTTTTTAGAAAGTGCTTACAATGGAAAATATTGCTCAAAAGACTAAAGTTAATAAGGAAGGAGCAAGTGCTTAACTTCAGAACTGGCAAAGAGAAAGTCAATTAAAAAGTGATTTTGTTTTCTTTTGATATTGTAAATTGTCTTTCCTGTGTGTGTGTGTGTGTGTGTGTGTGTGTCTGCGTGTTTTGCATTTGGTTAACATACAGATGTAATTTTTCTTTCCTTTCTTCCTTAGTTTCATTTGCCATAATACTTTTTTATTCCATGATACTTAACAGCTCACAGGTCACGTAGATAGGTTTTACGGACAGATGCTGGATATTTGCAGAAAAGCAGACAGACCCAAAGCACAGAGTTCTGAAGGTTCGTAAAGAAAAATTAGAGGCTCAATACAAAGCAAAACACATTACTTATGCAAATGGGAGTGAATTCTGCATTTGGGATACAGACTTGAAAGCATGTGTGAGAGGATGTGACTTGAGGCACAAGTAGCTTCTGTGTGCATGAGGTTGTGTTTTTAGGGGTCAAACTTCATCATAGGTGACAAACTCCAGAGAAAGAGGCTCTGCCCACACATGGATTGGTTTCTGCTAGAAGGCGGGCTCTGTGAGAGCAACTTCTGTTCCCAAGAAAGAGTAAGAGGTTTCTTGACTTAATGCGTCGTCGTATTATAGCACCTCAGAGCCATCACTTCATGGGTTGAGTTTTGTCTTTTTAAAATTTTTCTTAGAGGAGGTATTTTCCTTTACACTGTTACTCCCCTTTCTGTAAAGGTTTGAACCAAGACTTCAAAGTCCCTGCATTTTTTTTTTCCTACAGGGCCATGACGGCATAATCAGAGAGTAAATATTTATTGAACATGTATTCTATGCCAGATAATTTTCTAGGAACTGAGGTGACAAGAGAAAATATGTGACTTGATGTTCTCCCCTCATGGAGCTTATAACTTGTTGGAAAGGTTTAATATAAGTAAAATAGTCATACGGTGGTTGACTATTCAGACAGAGATGTATTTGTTGAGTGAGCAGTACAAACCCATGCTGTGAATTTGGAAAAGAAAATGATAACTGTGTGTGAGCTGGAATGGTCCTGAAAGGTGGATCACTTAGGAAACGGCTGCATGTAACAGAAAAAAATGACAAATATTGATACAGACAAGGTAAAAGTTTACCTGTTTCTTACAAGAAAGAAATTACTGAAGTAAGCTGGCTTCATGAAGTTGTCAGGGACTCACACACTGCCAACTTCACTTTTCCTGGTGTTCCCATGTTTCTTCTTTCTCGTGGTCCAAAATGATTGCTAGAGCTCTCACCATCACACCCACCTTTCAGACACCAAGATGGAAGGAGGAGTAAAGAATGGCATACCGCCTTTCTGTTGTGGAGACTTCTTCAAGCCCTACACCTGAATGCAAGGGAGACTAGTAAATCTTTCTAGCTGTTCTATTAATGCCACAGAAAAGGAAGGAGAGATGGATATCGGGGTAGGCAGCTAACAGCCTCTTGCCGCAGAGGGTGTGAGGGAAGTTGTTGGACACGATAGATAGGAGGAAGGTAAGTGAAACGGCCCGTTTGCTCTGCTGTTACTCGCTGTACCTTGCAGGTCTTCCTCCTCACCACCCTGAGTTCTTTCCCTGGCCAAGTTGAAGGATGAACCCAAGCAAGTATCACTTCTTCCAGGAAGCCCTTCTTGATCTGCCGCATCTGCTCTGCCAGTGTAGTTACAAATAATTTCTGTGTGTTCACAGAGTTCCCAGGGTATCTCACCGTCACAGGACTGTCCCAGAACTTGCGGTTCACTG